CAATTAACACTTTTTAGTTAAAAGACACCATTATCAATAGTCACAACTTTTCATAAAGTCACTATTGATAACTTTTGAACTAAAAGACACTATTTCAAATGGTTGTACCTTTTCCTAAAGTCATTATTGATACCCTTTGGAATAAAAGATACTGTTACATATGGTTATACCCTTTATGAAAAAGTCACTAGAGAGTCTATAAATAAGTGATTCTCTGCACTCCCAAAACAAACCATTGAACAATTCAAGAAGTGCTCTCTCATTCTAGTTCTCTGAATTATCCAAAATACTGAATTAAGTATTCAGTCTTTTTTTTTATCTCTCTCTCGTTGCATATTGTTGCATGCTTATTTCAAGTCCAGTTCAAGTATAAACACATAATTGTGTTCGTTGGAATCTTGGAGATTGAAGTGCTGCATCTTCAAGAACGAAATCTATTCTATCTTGACAGAGACAGTTGCTTATCAACCTTAAGCACTGAGAGAGAGCAAATCTGTCTTAAGGAAACTGTGATTACATAGGGTTCAAATTATTATTTTTATTATTGGATTTTTGGATTTTGATTTTCTGGATTTTACTATTTATACTTTTCTACGTCAATGTAAGTGCCCTGGTTTTGATTTTTATATATTATATTATACAGTTTAATATAATCTAATTATGTACACATTTTCTATAACATTAACCACCCTAAACATTACTTATCAATTATTCACTTTACTTTCTTCAATTCTAGACGTAATCTTCAATTGATGTAATTGTAAGCAATTAAACTCATAATGAACTTATTTGAGGTATATTAGAAGCCTCGATAAGTTTATAGAAAAGTTGGATGGAAGCGTAGAACATCGACAAATTGTAAAAATGGACCCTTATGACTGGTTGAAGTTTAACAGGTTCAACCCCGAAGTACTAGGAGCTATTCAACCGGTTCAAGTTCAATGTTCAACCTGTTCAACATTCAACCGATTGAAAGTATCATTCAACTGGTTCAAGCACAATCTAGATCTTGTTCAACCGGTTCATGCATTCTTCAACAGGTTGAACCATGTTCTGAAGCTTAAAACTTCATTCAAATTTTATCTTCTACCATTCAAACCCAATTCTAACACCACTTAACTCTTACCCATACCTCAAAGACACATTTAGAAGTGAAAATACATATTAATTCACAAGAATACATTACCTTCGTTGTGACTCGATATCCGTCGAACTCTTTCGAATTCCACTTCCAAAAGCTTAAACTTTTTCAACTCTTTAGTTCACCATCATCACTTCACTCTTTGTGCATAAGCTAAGATCATTCAAGCTTCTAGGAAGGATTTCACTCACCAACTCAAAAACACAAATTGTTTTCAGCTGAAACCTCACAAACCCACGAACTCTTTTTTTTTTCTGTCCCAATTTTTCTTTTCTCCAACCGGTTGGCATCAAACTCCCTCTTATATACTCACTGCTTCAAGAGTTGAGGAATGAGGACTCCGCAGGCTTCCGAGTGTCCTTTGAGTCATTTTTTTGCTTAATTGCTCTAAAGCCCCCTTGTTTTTCTTATTTCTACATTTGACCACTTGAAAATTCCCAACACTATTAAAATTTCACCTTTGCTCCCCATTACCTCATAATTCTACAATTAAATTCCTTAATTAAAGCATAGTTAAGCTTGCAGAGTTATCTTCTCATAATTTTAATCACATGCAAAGATTAGTAATTTACACTTTAACCCACATTGTTTATAACATGCAAGTTATGCATGTTCGGGTCTCACAATTACTGTCTCAATTAAAGTGATCATGGCCAAATAAGGCAAAATGTGATTCTCTTTCAATTATTTTTGAATAACTCTCTCTTTCAATTAACAAACCTTATAAAGTTGGCACCATTGCACAGTTGATGAGGTTGTTTTCTATCCTTCCCTTCCTCCACCACAAGAACATTAGAAGCTAGTTTTTCTTCCTCCTCATTTTTCTCTCAAGCACTTGACACTTTCTCAAGCCTGAGGTGCGTTGTCAATTCCTCAAGAGATAAGTCATTTTTTTTATGTTTAAGATTTTTCCTAAAATCTTTCCACGCTGAAGGAAGTTTTTCAATGATAGCAAATGCAATAACAGATTCATCCATATTCATTTTCTTTTGTTTAAACTAATCTAGAATACATTAAATCTCATAAAATTGATCTAGCACATGTTTATCATCTATAATTTTAAAGTTTAGAAATTGACCGACAATAAACATTTTACTCATTGCATCCTCGGCGAGATACTTTGCCTCCAACTTGTCCCATAACTCCTTGGCAGATCCCATTCCTTGATAAAGATCGAATAGGGAGTTGGACATAGCATCCAGAATGTGGTCCTAGCACAAATAGTCATCTTGCTCCCATTTTGCTCGATTTTGTGCTTTGGGCCATTGTTTCATTTTCTTGTTCTACGAGTTTTGGCGTGGACAACACATAGGAAATCTTCAATGTAGTAAGTAAAAAATTACAATTTTCTTTGCCAACAGGGGAAATTTTCATCATCAAATCGATCCAAGTTGATGAAATTTTTCGTCATGTGACAGAGTGACTTTGAAAACAATGAATCTGTGAAGAAATACTATTTTTTGATTTTTAGAAAAAAAATATGCTGGTTCTTCTTGTTTGGAGCTGAACGGAATTGGATGTCTTGAACTTCAACGCAAATATGAAACACTTCAAGTTGTGTAGAAACACCTTTCTAAAAAAAGTATTTGTCCCTACCAGATTCACTAAGGTGTGCAAATGGAAAATCAACAAATCTATCTTCAAGATATAATGAAACCTTAATTTGTTTGCGTCTTTGCACTGATGAAAACAATATACAATACCTACTGAAATATAGTGAAATTGCTAAACTGGAATTTCTAATTGTGCTGTAAATTAGAAATCCAAAAGAAATGAACAAAATGTTGTGTAGGAAAGAGAGACATTTAGACCGATCAATACGATTCGTACCCGCATACGTGTGAAGTGCGCCATGCAGGCGCCATCGCGCCCAACAACCCATCTGCTAAGTGCAAAGTGAGCATCAAAACACCACATTGCACCCCACGACGAGGGCGTGGACAAGGGTGTGCACAGACGGTGCATAGTGGAGCCTTTATACTAAAGAAGGTGTACTTACTATACTATCCTTTATATGCCCAAAAAACTTTTAACATTCCTGATGTGGGATTGGTGCTAAGGGCACCATTGCTCCTTCTCAAAAAACATGAGTTTTTCACAAAACTCTCATCCACAAAAACTTTATTTTGATTTGAGAATATTTTAGCATTGCCCTCTCCTAATAAATAGCCCTTATTAAGCTGCCAATAATTTACTTTGGTGAGCGGATAGGTTTTTACAAATAACAAACCAAAATACTTTTTAAAAGTTGAATATTAATTTGATAAAATTAAATGTCAATTTGATAAAATTAAATATTATTTTATAATCTAAATTTTTTTTTTTGTTGAATATTATTTGTTATTGATCAAATCAACACGAAATTGACCTTAGATTAAAAAAATTGTATTTAAATTTTATGCGTTAAAATATAATTTTTTAAGTTTATATACAATAAAAAATTATAATTTAATGTCAATTTCATGTTAGTTTAATCAATACCAAATAATATTTAACACGAAATGAACCTTAGATTGAAAATTAATATATAATTTTATCAATTTGACATTTAATTTTATCCAATTTATATTCAACTTTGTTGAAATAATATCAAATTAGTTTTAATTATTATCAAATTAATATTAAAATTCATTTAATCAATTTTTTGTGGTACTATATAAAATTTTTGTTTGATTTTATTAAATTTTTAATTTTTTTGAGTACCAAAATAATAAAATTTTTTGGGAAGAAATCATCCTTTCATTAGTAACATTGATGGAAGTAGGGTGTTTACCCCTACCTTAGGTAGATAATATGTTCTTCCGTCTTTTTACCCGATATTTTATGAAAATTTTTTTTCTTAGCCTACCATATCCGATCAGGTGTGGTATTTCTATCCGACTTTCTATCCGATTAATTGAGTAGAAAGTTGGATAAACATTTTGTAGCTATTAATTTTTGGATCATTTTAACAATTTAATTAAATAACATGCACCAATTTAACAAGACAATATATTAACAACACTAAAATCTAAAACAACTATAACAACAATTATAATAAAACACAAGAAAGTGTGAATATCAATCTACTATAATTATTATACAAATACAATATCAATTATTTTAATTATTACATAATTGGCCTACCCTACCCCATCTGACACTCGAGCTTTGAAGCTCAAGCCCCAACTGACATTGGAAAGTAGACCAAAGGCTCTCAAGAAAATAAGCTTTTAAACAATAAACAAACAAAACTCACATCCAAAATAAGTAATTTTTGTAACTTCAAGTAACACATACATCAAACCCCAAAAAGGTGAAAAATGACAACAAAGAACCAGACCACACCAGATCGCGTAGAGAGAGAAAAAAGAGCATGCTTGAGAATGGGACTGAACGATGAAGGAGGAATGGAGTGAGGTGTGATCGTGTGAGGCGCTCGAACAAGACTCAATATATATATAAATTAATTATTGCGTGTAGGATATGAATATGAAAATTGATGACTATTCTGCATTCTAACTCGATTTAATCGAAATACCAAAAATTCTTCGTATTTCTACCTGATTCTTACGACTAGTCGTTTAATAGAATAGGGTAGGGTCGGGTAGGATAGAAAATTTCAGCCAATCAAAAATTTGAACACCCCTAGATGGAAGGGAGACAGAGGGAATTTCCGTATAATAAATTTCAAGAGATCTTTATGTTATTTATAAAATATCAAAGGGTGTTCTTATAATATTACTAAAACTCAAAGGCTTTCCGTGTTTTTTACCCAAATTATTAAAATTTAGCGTCTGGCCACACGAATCAAACCCGCCAGAATATCGCAAAGCCACACACACACACACACCCCCGAGAGAGATTATACAGATCAACCATGGCGTCGTGTTCGATGCCACTCTTACCACTCAGTCCCGCTCTCTCATCTAGCAACCCTATCTTCTCTCTCCGAATTTCCAACACCACCCGAACATCCTCTCTCTCTTATTCCTCAAGGTCGCTTTCAGTTTCAGCTTCTTCTTCGCCTTCACTTCAAGCTATCATATTCGATTGTGATGGCGTCATTCTAGAGTCCGAGCACTTGCACCGCCAAGCATACAATGACGCTTTCTCTCAGTTCAATGTCCGTTGCCCCTCTTCCTCCTCTCAGCCCCTCAATTGGGGTCTCGAATTCTATGACGAGCTCCAGAACCGCATCGGCGGTGGCAAACCCAAAATGCGATGGTTCCGTTCTCTCTTGCTACCTACCAGCATACATACATACATATTTATAGTGTTTGTATATATGTCTGTATTGCTTTTGATTTGTTGATCGGCATTTGAATGATAAGGTACTTTAAGGAGCACGGTTGGCCTTCTTCGACAATATTTCAGGCTCCTCCTGAGGATGATGATGCTAAAGCAAAGCTAATTGACACTATTCAGGTACCAATTTCGCTTCGTGGAATGAGGTCTTGATGAAGTTAAGTGAATCTAGTCCTTTTACACACACGGAGAACATACACATACATCTATTCGTCTAGTAAATAGTTGTTGTGTTCAATACACGATTAGGGGAAGGGCGACACTAAATTCACAGCTTTTTGGAATAATTGAAGATATTCTGGATTCGCAATCTCAGTTAGAGTGCTGTACATGTATAAATGGTGATATATTCCCAATATTTTTGGGATTATTTGTTTTGCTATGAACCGGAAGCTGTCTGAGTTCGTTTGTAATTTTCTTTCTTAAGTTTGGACACTTGAAGAGTGCTTTTTGACCTTTATTCTCAATTAGAGCGATGTATTGGTTCTTTGATGGCTTTTGCAGGATTGGAAGACTGAAAGGTACAAAGAAATAATCAAATCTGGAACTGTAAGGAGCCATATATGTCTATTTTTAATTGTGATTACTGTTTGCTCTCTTGTATTAGTGGCTGTGCTTGATGAGTAATTATAAGACACTTGGTGGTTATTGCTTTGATCA